TCATTCCATATGATTTCATAGAAGTCTTGTTCTGATATATACCCAAGTGACGATTACAGAGCTTTGGACAAACAGCCAATTTCTGATCGATGTCTATCACTTCGTATCCATGATTTTATTAGTAACCTGCTTGACTTCACCGTTTCGTCAAAGATATATCATGTTAGAGTTCACGACTATATTCCTATTCATCCTGATGATATCCCGAAAACATAAATTACCACTCCTATTGGTTCATGTGAATTCATTCAAATCTCTTTTGAACTCTCCAGCGCCACTTATACATCTCGGTGTTCCATCGACCAAGTCTTCTATTGATAACTTTTTATGTATGCGTACGCTTAAATACTTAATGCTATTTTAAGTTTAACAGAATACATGAGTTTTATCAAAACCATTTTTGAAAGGCTTTGCAAATATGGAATAATGATTAACTTTTGTAAATGTGAGTTTGAGAAAAGCCTATTGAAGTTCTCGGTATATACATTTAATTCACAACCAGTTTATAAAATTAGTTCCAAATGAACCAAAAGTTACAAATAACTACCCTCTGCCTGACTCATTTAAGAAGTCATACAGTTTTAAGGTCTAACCAACATGGATATCAGTCCTCCATTGGGGATTGCGACAGACACTTCCAGTATCACCATTGGAGTAGTTTTTAAACAAGACATGAATAGCGTGTGGTAACCATAAGTATTCTTTTGAAAACGGCTGCATCTAATCGGGCACACAGGAAAGTCACTGAACTCCAAGCAAATGTTGTGTACAAAGTGAATGTGGAAGAACAGACATGAATCAGGTATGCTAATTACATACGACCTTCAGCAGAGACGTCAGACAAGAAGAAGTGAAATTTATGCTTGAGGTTTTGTTGGATGCTTCTGATATCCCACATAGAGAACGACGGCAGCTTATTCTTTTCAGGAGGTAAAATCGACAAAGAAGTATACTAAAGCCCTTCTGAGTGGACTCGAAATGGAAATCATAGACCCTTTACGAAGAGAAGTGGTAGGAAGGGACCTAAATGGAAACTGAGATTATAAGTTGTTAGTTCCCATTTTTTTTTATGTTCTCTTCATTTCGCTATTGTGAGCAAGTATGACGTTACTATAGAAATTAATTTTATTCTCATTTAATGATAACTGACACACAACAATTAACTTCAACTTTACTTATCTTTTGCTACTTATCTATTGGTTTTCTTGTCGTTATCATCCCTTTTGTTAGTACCTGTCGGTTAGGATAACTCAAGGCATAAAACTTATTACTTTCTGATCAAGATGCTAGCTTCCCCACTGAAATAGCATTAAAACAAGCTTCAATCCTGCTTTGATTAAATAAGATTTGACAAATGAGCTTGCGTGCATTGAATTCTAAAATCTCATCCTTCTCCCAGCCTATCTTATATTGAGTTTATATCTCTAGTATATTCAAACTCAGAATGCGGATAACTCATAACGTTTTTGTTTGTATTTCTCAACGTTAATGTTCTTTTTATATTTTAACTTCCTATAGCTGTTGGAATATCTGTTTACATTATCATCCTATTGTCAATGTTCTTAAAACAAATTGTATTGCATCCTTAAACCAGAGTAACGAATTATCACGATTTGGCATCCATTTTGTATACATGAGAGAAAATTTTGCACGAAACTTAATTAAAAACACTATTATTCGCTTACATGTCTTGTTCTAATTTTCACAGTAGGGATTAAAGATATCACAGTAAATGTTGAAGATTCTCAGTCCTACATAAAGATGATACAACTGGATATAACCAGATTCGGTTAACTGCGTTTATTCATTCTACGTTAACCGCTATTCAAGGAAGTTAAATAACTGCCTAATGCATATATCAATTTATTTTAGTTAGCGACAGCTATCAATTGCTGTCAGTCAGCTGAACATCACTATTAGATAAGGGTTGGAATTATAATCTCATTAAGAACATTTAACTGAAAGTGATTCAACACTAGTTTTGAACTCGAAAGTCTTGACATGTACACATTGTTACACACGTTTCATTCTCTTCTACTATCATTCCAAATAACACCCTATTACTATATACCCCTAATTTTTTATAGCTTTTGCCCACTGTTCTGCCCATGACCTTAAAATAACCTACATGTCTATTTTCACACCGTTACTAGTTTTTCTCCCCTCTACTCTCAAGGCTGAATTCTCGTTGGTTGTTAACTATTTTTACCTATATATGGATTTGTTGCTGTCAAGGTCACTTACAAGTATATATATATATATATATTCACTATCGCTGTCAGCTGTACTGATTGTTGTGGAAACTGTAAAAGCCCTCTGCCAACGACCTGCCTTCCCTTCTTATCTTCGCGAGTCGGGGGTATTTTTGTAGTGATGGTTGACGCTCTGATTTGCTTTGGAGTCAATTCTTTTGTGCTTTCGGTTCGTATCATTCATAGTCTGCTAGGCTCGTATAGCTTGTAGGTTGTTAGGTTATACTACTGGTACCCATCCAGATTTTGCAAATAATATTTTAATTGAAAAACAACAAGTAGGTTTCCAAATTCTGTTGAAAAATCAACATGTCACGCTGATGTTCTCTATAAAAGGATTAACTAAACTTCATATTCAGCTCAAACTGATTTTCTTATTAAAGTGCTCTTCAAAGATTATTATATTGAACTCAGTACTATGAAGCAGTTTAACCTTATATTTCCGTCATTTATTAATCTGTTGGTTCATGACATTAGACCACCAAGTCAAATGGTCTTACATTTTCAGTTAGTACAATTGACGTCAGATCCCAATGATATTAACCAGAGCTTAGATAAGGAACCGCTGAAAACCAAAGACCGGTGACAGTCGTTTCGTCCTATTTCATGATTCTTCAGAATGAGATGCATACATGACACTGCTTGGAAACAAGTTCATTAATACCAGGTTGCGTGACAAGCGCGTTACTATTCAACCATCAAGTTGGAATCCAATACCTTAAGGTTATGAAAAGTTGATAAAATGAACACAATGACTGATCTTATATCAAACTAATTCTGACCCAAGTCAACATCAAAATCGATACAACACAGTTCTTGGTAGTTTATATTTCATAACATGATATTTTATTATTGTTTTCTACTTTCAATTAGTAAGACTAAATAAAAAAGAGAAAAGAGGTACAAAATGATAAAATATTAATGTCCATCGAAAATGCAAACCTATACAAATAAAATAAAACACAAAAAGACAATGGCACAAAATAACAAACAAAATTTATTCAGAGAGACCAGCTCCTTAAAATAAAAACAAAAACAAACAGACGAACAAAGAAAATAATCATAAACATAACACACTAGCATATCATTTTCAATGGTAACTATGAAATGCCTTGTACGTGTAGCAAAAACAAGAAAGAGTGATACAAGAATTACAAATAACTAAATACACTAGTGAATTATTTAAGAATACGTTTTCATAAAAAAAATTTGTCCATAAATAAATAAGCATCCTTAAAATTGTCGTATGGTTATCAAGAGCAGATGTAACAAGTAAATATAAATAAAAGCAACAGCAAATAGTCTGAAAGGAAATGTCAACTATCATGGTTGTATTAACAGTAGCAATCCAAATGGCAATTGCGATGGTAGAAATAGTAGTAATGGTAGTAGTAGTAGTAGTAGTAGTAGTAGCGCGAGTAGTAGTAGTGTGAGTAGTAGTAGTAGTAGTAGTAGTAAGTAGGATGTGATTAGCAATTCAGAGAAAACTTAGAAAAACGGAACGTCACAATTTTTTCACGCTTTGAAAAATACCAGTAAGATAGTAAAGTGAAATGTCATCGAAATCAAAAAAGCTAAAAATAGTAATTACTAGAAAATCATTTCACACAGTGAATTGGAAAAGAATAGAAAAAGAAAACTAGAAATGAAAATATAACTAATATACTCAGATTACAGATTACATCAGTACTACTACTAGTAGTAATAGTAATGTGAGTAGTAGTAGTAGTAGTAAAGTTAGTACTTGTGAAGAAATGGTGTGAACGAGTACACATAAGCACAGAAATCAAGTGGGCATTGAAAGAATATGTGGTTGACAGCGTGGCCAATCATAGGTACTACCAAACAGCTAGCCAAGAAACTGTTAATAAAGTCCCATTAGAATTATTATTATCCAAAATGAATAGTTAAAATGCCCTTAAACGTGTGAACAAAGGAATTATTCAAATGGAAATATAATGTTAAACAGAAAAATACTAAAGCCAAACCAGCTGGAACGAGAATCGCCCTAATTAAATATAAAGTGAGAAAAAACAATTCATGTAGATAAATAATATAAATCTTCCGTATTACTGAAAATGTTAAAAGTAGTATACCAATAATAAGAACAATAATTATCCTCGATAATCCACATTAACCATCAGTTAGTTGGGTATACAAGAAAAAAAAATATATGAAATCAATAAAACATTTTTGTCTTTAAAAAAATGTTAATTGGCCTTCCTAATAACAGAGGATGATAACTCAAATCACAGATGGTCTCCTCACTGTCTTTTCTCCTTCATCAACCACCTTCCATATTAAAAATTTCATTTGAAATACACCTAAATTTGGAAGGTTTTTGAAAAATACCTAGGAGTGCGTAGTTTGAACCATGGAAGAATATCAGAGGGGGAAGAACTTCTGTGGGTCTGTATATTCACAAGAGCTCCACACACACACACACACACAGACGTTTAGTGAGCGACCCGAAGGTAGAATAGGAGAAAAAAAGATTAGTAAACGTCAACGTTTACATCAACTACTGACAGTAATGACAATATAATTAGAAATAACATTAACAATATCAGTAAATATCCTCTGAACAAAATGCATTTATCAAGGATTAAAATAAAATCTAAGAAATCATAATTTGTTGAAGGAATTATTTTTTATAAACAGTCGAAAATGGATTAATCTTTTGGCATTGTCCTTTACACATACATTTATGACTGATATATCACAGAAACTCATTCTGACACAGACTATTTATTCTTTAAAGTCACCAGAGTCGTCATCATCTTCATAAAAGCCTGGAGGGAAGAAGTATTGCATAGACGGTTGTTGAACACCTAGTTCTTGTTGTTGTTGCTGCTGCTGCTGTGGTAGTGGAGGTTGTATTTCTGGAAATTGTGGAGATGGTTGAAGAGTTGATGGACCAGGAATTGAATATTGATGAAATAAAGGTGGATGTAATAATGGGCATTGAGCTATCAGATGAGTTGGATCACGGCATCGATAACAACGTCGTCTCATTGGTTCATATGGGCATGTTGCAGCTTTATGTGAAGCATACTGTCCACAGTTATAACAACTGGTTATATTTTATTTTCAATGAAATAATAAAAAAAGGAAATAGATTAATGAAGAGTGAAATTATTCGTAAATCAAAGGTTTTTGAATATGTGAAAATTCACTTTATTCTAATGTTCATCTACACTGACGTAAACAAACTTGAAATATCTACATACTGACCTTTACTTGTACACTTTGTAACAAAGAATTAGGGGGAGAGTGTTGAATAGGAAGAAAAACAAGAAAATGAGAAAACCAACACACCAACTACGAAAAAAATGAGATCATCGGAATAAATTTATACCACTGTTCAAAGGATAAGGTTACATTTTTGCCGTTGTTGTAGATTTTTAGCTACACCGATTGGAGCCTGCATTCTTCACTTTCAGTTATCTTGAGGAATTTAGTCCTATGTTGTTCAAATGAATACTATACCACACAGTTCTGTGCCATGTATTGATCTCCTTATATTAAGCCTCTTTTCACCTTGATCCTAAAGCATATAAGACCCTGAACTGATGTAGATGGTAGGTTATCACGTGTAGCACATATCCCTATCACCTCAGTTGAAGAAGTTCCACAATATCGTGAGCTAACTTACATCCTTGGATTCATAATCAAGCTTTATGTATACACTGACTATACGGTGAATATCAGCTTTCACTTAGGCATTTGTGAAAATATTCATTATCCAAACCAAAATTCTAAAAGTTCTATGCAGAAAAATATTTTGATTTTAAAAGCTATTACTAACATTCCTCGATGTCTCTTTCTGCAATTCCGTATACTATGTATGATATCAAATGAGATTTCAATGCATATCTTTACGGACACCGACTGACATTAGTTGGAGGAACATTTGAAACTTGAGATGACTAAACAGCTGACTCGTCCTACTATAGGTATCATCAGCAGTGCACACCCATCTCCCCACCCTCTAGGGACCGAAACCAACACTTTCAGACTCCGTGGTCAGCACGTTACCATTGAGCCACTGAGTCACAATCAAGTGGTTCATACCTCCTACTTCTATCAGATCACGACACACTACCATCAGTGAGTGACTGTCCTCGTCTTCGATGTGATTGACCCCACCGGTCATGACTTCTCACTGGAACTTGGGGAATTACCTCTCAAAGCTGGTCACCGATGAGCACTAGATTAATTCGAGGTTTGGTTAGTTTATGATCAGATAATACAAACTAACAGAGATATATAATAGTTTATCTTGAACAAAGAACTTGTGTAGTAAAACTCCTTAGTTGGAACTTGCTTCATGGATCACCATATGGTTGAAGATGATAAGTTTGTTATTGTTGACATAGATATATTAACTTTTTGTGTTCATATTCTGTGGACATGTTGGATGGATGAATGTACTACTCAGAAGGATGACATTTTGCCTCTGTCTTCATGAATTAACATGATATACACTAACACAAAATGATATTCTGATTAATTACAGAACGTGACTCAAATACTTCACTAGCCATGGTTAGCCTTCTGTGTGATTGTTTGGTGATATGAGGATGGGCATTCAGAAACAAGTCACACCAATAAGAATATCACTGGAATAAAAAATGTTCTCAATCAATATTCAATTACATGCAACTTTTCCAGCACCTACAACAGTTCGTGTACATGTTCTTAAGTGACATTCTCTTAATAATGGTACCATCAAGGGAGGGGGTTTCAAATCACACAAATCGTCAGTTGAATAAACCTATATTAGTGTTGGTATTTTAAGAAAAACAGAGTTTCAACTCACTGAACTCTTAATCTGATTATCCAAATGAGCAATGCATATTTTTTCCCTTCTACCTTTCATGACTCCAGTCTCTATGATAAACAGATATCAGTTACTAAACTTATTTGTTCACTGTTAACACTCTCATTCTCCTTCTCTCTGTGTACATCAATCCCATTATCTATAAGCCCTACCTATCAGATGATAACACTACAAGAAATACTGATTTTCCTATTGCTTGAATGTACAAAAGATAAGTATATCAGATGCATAACAAATAATAATGTTTGATACTTTATGGTATAATCGGCATCCATTAACTAATCAATATGATTATCAAATTTCTAATACACAACTTGAAGTATCTTATCCAGTTATTTTGAAAAAAAACTATGAAAAATAGTATTCTAGATGAAAATGGAAAACTGGATAATATATGAACTCGTATAACAATGATAGTTATCAAATATAGGGCAATTTATCAACTTTTGGGCTCTAATTACTTAGTAAAGAATCAAATATTCTTTGGTGCGAAGATTTATGAGGAAAACCTGGGAGCACTTGAAAGCCATTTCGTCCTGATAGAAGACTCCTCAGTAGCAAGTATCAAGGACCCCAAAAATTAACACTGAACGCGCTGACCATTCAGATACTGGGTTGGAGTTCAGACGTCCAAAGTTCCTTACTTCTGTCGTTTCGCGACATAACACGCCTATCCACTAAGATGTTCACTTGGCACCCACTTTATTTCCGACTAGTTGATCCCACATATTACGGTTTGTCGTTGGAACTTTGGAATATTCATCTTGAAGCATGTCACTCATGAATCCTATACAGTAATCTTAGGTTGAATTTATGAGGATTTTATTTATTTCAGATTATTACTCATTACAGAAGGATGCTCTCATAAACTCAACTGTAATGTGTGGGTCAATCAGTCGGAAATGAAGTAAATACCAAGTGAACACCTGGGTGAATAAGCGTGTTATGTAGCGAAATTACAGAAGTGAGAAACTGTGAACGATTGAACTGCAACATAGTATCTGAATGGATAACGCGTTGACCATGAAACCTGAAGGTCCTGAGTTGAATCCTTGTTGTGGTCGTTGATACTTACTTCTGAGGAGTCTTCTACCAGGAAGAAACAGTCATTCAGTGTTCCTCAGTCTTCAATGGTTCTCCAAATGAAGTGCATCTGTGATGAATACTACTCTGAAAGGCAGAATAACTAAAAGTATAGCTAACCTACAATTCAAGAGTCAGAACTCGGTCTTCTTGGGACAGATGTATTCACATTACCGTCATCTTGGTCATTAGATTGAATTTAATTATTGTCTACTTCCTTGTGATTCTCTTTTACGGCCTTCTATCCAACCTCGACAGCTTTCTTCCTTATTTCTCTATTTTTCCTCTTGTTGCCTTTCACCTTGGTATGATGATATGAAACGTGGAAAGTTGGGCAGTTATGTAGTACTCCCAGGCCGTATGTAGATGCTGACTGACTAACTGGTGTTTTGGTACATTTCTGTAGGAGTCCGGTCATCGGAGATTAAATTACAGGTTCAAAAAAACTTGAAACACATCACACGGAAATATTACATTTCTAGTCGTAGGTCACAGTGAAAGGGATTTCCAATAAACTACAGACATTCATCAATAACTGCTTACGCTCGCTACTGAAGATCAGATGGATTGCCAGAAAGAATAAGCAACAAGGAGCTCTGGCTCAGAACGAACCAACCAAGAACCTATCACCCAACAAATATGCAAAAGGAAGTGGAGATGGATTGGACATGCACTGAGAAGGCCGACTGAGGACATCACGCGTCAGGCCAGTTGCTCGAGTGGAATCCCCATGGGAAGTGACGAGTTGGACGTCCGTGGTGAGGGTGACACGGAGGAGATCGTGTGAGGAGGAAATGAGAGCTTCTGAGCTGTCGTGGAACGAGGTTGAAAAGATTTCAGAGAAGAGAGTTCACTGGAGACGTGCTAGTGAAGCCGTATGTTCCATTAGGAATCCAAGGGACTAATAATAAGTCGCAGGTCAAAAGTTCTAACCTTCCATAATTGTCTAACCAGGAAATTCCCATCATTTGAGCATAAAACTTAATCAAAAATGGCTTTAATGAGTATTCATCACTCAGCTAAAGTTTATCAGTTATCCCTTCTGGATATTTGTGTAGCAATTTATCTTTTAATTAATAGTTCAATCTGTAAAGTATTAAGTCAAGACCTTGTATCATTTTTATATTTGGAAATAAATTGAATAACAAGAAATGTAATGGATAGTTTACTTTCCGTGTGCCAAACAGCGAATTAGTAAAATGATTTCGCGTAGATATTATGTGTCAAATTGAGAGTATGAAAAGAGAAAAAGAAAGAGTATATGAATTGGATCTTTCTTCAAAACTAACGATATTAGCTGAAGTTGCTAGGACATAGAAGTGTTCTACAGTATTTAAATACTTTGAACAGAAAGTAACTGTATAATAGGCTATTTGCTGATCAAAACTGGTAGATCATGAGTAAACACTCACCATCTCCATCCCCACTCTTAAAACAAGGTATAAAATGAAGTCTAGTTGTGAATTATAATTTAAAAGAATCAAAATCTTCGCTGAGTTTTCTTTACCTAAATATATGCTAAAAAAACACTTCTAAAATAAGTACAATGAACTTCGATTTATACTCCTGTTTCATCAAAAATTACACAAAACTTCAATCCCACTAAAAGAAATAGTGATATATTCACAATAAAATGATTATGATTAATTACTTGGTCCGTAATTAATGAAAAATAATTAGAAGAGAAAACTTTAGACTGACAAATTTTAAGCAAGGTACGGTTACCAGATGAGCAAATTATTGCATACTAGATTCCTAAAGGGATACTGATTTGCCTCATCTTTTCAAATCGAAAGTCAAACAGTCAGCAGTTGATACCAACTACTGACTGATTGACTGACTGATAACGAATGATAAGGTACAGTATATTAAGTAGTAATTTCCCTGTTCAATCACAGAGCAAGTATCCAGTGACCAGCGTTTCCGATCTCAGTGATATTACGCAATAATGTTCCAGTATAGGCATTAATTCCTATTCTCAACTTGGTCGTCCCCATAGATTTTGACTTACTAACAGACCTCAAAGTTAGTCAATACTGAAAGCTGAGATCTTACAAAATCAGGTACTCAGAAATTTCATCCACAAATGCTTATTAAACACCAGTTTACCCTCTGGAACATACCAATCCACCAATGTTATCAGTGTTACGTATAAAAACTTACCGAAATCTTCGTGTTCTACGCCTTTCGGGTACCCTTCTGATTCTACTCGGCTCTCCACCTAGAAATGAAGGACCGGATATGAAAGAAGGTCGACCGACTATACGCTGGGGCAATGGAACACGAGAGGTTGACGGTAATTCTCCCATTTCAATTGCTGGCTGAATATTATATCCTTCTAATCCTCTAACACCCTGACGTATTTGAAACCAAACAGGTAAATCTGGAAATAACTGTTCTGGAGAAATTCCAAACAAATTGGACTGGTAAAATAAAATAAAAACGCAAAAATAACAAGAAAACAAATTAATAGGTATATGGAGATGAATGCTTATAATCATTGTTTAACTCTATAATTCCCAATGGACATTTTTAAAATCTGAGAGATGTTGGTTGAGTAGAGGCGATCGGCAGGACGCCCTCAACCTAAGTCTCGTGTTTGTTAACACTCGTCAGGAAAGCGTGTCTGAAACACCGGTGGAAGTGATGTCCTACCTGAAATTAGAATCCGCCTCACTCAATGTTGCGGTCAAAGACATTACCACTGAGCTATCTGATAATCTGTAGAAACCGATCAGCATATGGGACTAAACATCACGAATTTGATTAACCTCGAGTGACTCATCAATGTATGTAATCTGGTCTAATAGGAGGTCAGTCACGACCGAATAGCTCAGTGGTAACGTGTCTGACTACAGCACTTGGTGACGCAGGTTCGAATCCTAGTCGGAATACCGGTTGTGTAGAGGTTGCAGATACGTGTTCATGAGGAGTGTAAACATGCAGGAAACCTCGTTTGAGCAGGGCTTCCTCCCAATCGTCTTCATCCAAATAATATCTGTCTACCTGAATCGCGAAGCTGAACCACCTAGCCTGGTGATCACATTCCAAATTGATCTATGGAATTCAGTCAGCACACTGGATCCGACAACAAGTAATCACTGACCAACCAGTGCGTTTTTTGAATCATCCTGTGTCTACCCGTAGGATTCCAATGATAGTAAAATTAAAAACTTTTTATTTTGCCTAAAGATTCAATACTGTTTTTACCGAAATAACCACTAGAAAGTCTAATTCAATGACATTAAATTCAAAATGGAGAAGGAGCCAAACAACCAACTACCATTCTCAGATGCTATAGTCAGTAGAACAAATGCCCGAAAGCTGGAAATCCAAGTGTACAGAAAGCCAACACACACCGATCAAATCCCGACTAAAGTAACAACAAACCAACAACGCACAAAATTAGTTACTTGCAGACTCAATTCAAGACAGCAAGAACACACTTCAGTACAACAACTTCACAGAAAAAAGAAGAAAATTATTTGATGTCCACTATAAAGAAGGGCGGCTACCCACCATCCTGTACACCATCAACTACAAAGTCATCCACAGAAAGCAAAAATAGCATCATCCTACTTTACATAAAGAATATGACAGAAACCACGACAAGATTGCTGAGACCACTTGAAATTGGTGTGGCCACTCATAAACCAACAAATTCCCTCCAAATCCTATCACGCGGACCAAAGGATGCAACAACCAAAAAAACAAACCGAGTATCATTCACAAATCAACTGCAGTAACTGTGGTCAACGCTACATCGGAAAAAGTGGTCACCCTCTTCGCTTTCACCTACACGAACACTAACTGGCTATTAAACATAACGACATTTCATCACTCATTTCAATGCATGTAGATAACAACTATAGACATGAACTCAATTTTCATGATGTAGAAATCTTGAACGGAGAGAAGAAACACGAAGAATATCATTAGAGAATTCCTAGAAGCCTGGGATTCACATCAGTCAGCAATCAACAGATGTATAGACATAGACTCAATCTATCAACCAATATCAAAAATGATGAACGACATAAAGGTAAGAGGTCAAGCAGAGGAATAGCCATCAGGAAATCTATGCAGTCAATGACAACAATCGAAGGAAACAACCAATCACAGACCATTTCGTCAAGGCAAGTTACTAAATCACTCACGGAGAGATAGTTACAGCTTACTTCGCACTGTATTTAGCGCTGATGATGTCGTCTAGAAAGACGATGAAAGCTTCTCCATGATTAAACAACCCATCTCAGAGAACACAATACAACCAAGAAAGTCTACTTCAGTTATTTCTCGATGGTGCACCGAACCCTAGAAGGTTGTCAGATTTTTGATTGGATTAGATATAAAGATGCTAGTATTAATAACAATAATCGCTTTGTTCAAAACAATACGTATGATGCAGTATAGAATTCTTAGCAAGTAATTTTCCCAATAAATTCACTCTCAGAACAATATTATCAGATGAAGTGGTTATAGAGTCTGAAAGATGTTAGTAATAACAGTATTCAAGACAATAATGTGAAACAGTCAGCCTGTTTTGGATTAGCATCCGGTCTAGGATGAAGAATAAACAGAAACGCTAGCGTAAAGTTAGTGGCAGTGATTCATTTAGAAAGTAAAAGAATCTGCACCTCAGGCTAAGTTGCTGAGGGATCGAAATATGTACTCTTGGACACTGAAAAGTTCACCTCCATATAACTTGATATTTTTTTTCTGTTTTGATATTAACTGGAGAAATGGTGAGTTGAAAACATTTTCAAAAAGCGCAATGGTACACGATATGTTCAAAATAAACTGAAAGGAAAACATTTGGAATATTTATACTATGTGGTAAAGTTTGGTAGTCCAAGCAGGTCTCCAGGTCTGTGGTCTATGATCTCAACTGTGAAATGATAGTCAGTCTTGTTTATCAACGTGACTTATCCAAAAGAAACTTACATGTAGATAAATGGAACAAAAGAAAATGTGTTCATCTGTCATAAGACACGATAAATCGAAATTTGATTTGGTTGACTCATCAGCCTAAATCCATCATTTCACTTTCAATAGATAAGTTAAGTATGTGTTGCTTAATGATTTGTGTCGTTTATATCTGAGGAAAAAGAATAGTTTGCTCAATCTAGACTACAGCTAATCGGTGTACTATTACGAAATTTATTCCACTTATTGAATCTCGAATCTCACCTCGATGGTGTAGTTGAGGTATTCAGAAGTAAGATACAGAAAAACGTCTAATACCATCATGCCAGATGATTGTGGAGATTAATGGTAAAAAAGTAGTTACAAATATGAATCAGAAGTTTTTGAACATTCTAGGAAACTATTAAATTCGGATATGGATTACCAAAATTTAGTCGATTGTATCTCAGATACAAAATAGCACTTTTAATAAACATGTTTTGGATATGTTATCATGACCAATGGTTCAATCTTTTAATATGTATTCACTTAAGCTTGAAGAAAGTCATCACTGATGGAAGTAGTAAGTAATTAGTATTTGATTCATGGGTAAAATTTCATTCCGGTCATCTATTGAAGTGTTTAGCAAGGTAAATTTCATTCAGTACAATGCTCTAACACACTTGATATCATTAGTATTCTCCTTTTCCAAAGAAGTTATTACTCATTATACTCATGTTAATTATGACAGCCTAAATCGATATGTAGTAATAAAAGGTAGGAGGAAAATGGTTCCATAGCAGCAAGAAATGTTGTAATTGTAATTTCGATATGGTTCAGATTGGCTTCTGTAATTATCATTATGAGAATGGGTAGATTATTACATCATAGAAGGTTTATTGACATTTCATTCATCATCATCATCATCATCATCATTATCAACATAGGACCAGGCATTACTGCGTAACGGTCCGAGTTGCCACACCTCATATCAGCACATCAAGTAAAAAGGTAGTGAGGTGAAGGATGAAGATAAGTGAATGCAGTCAAAAGAAATATAAAGTATGAGAAGAAAGGAAAGAGGAGTGACAAAATAGTGAGATTCGGTATAGCGTTGTTAAGATGAGGATAATGTGTGTATACATCTGCGCCACTGACTTCGGTTCTGAGCCATATCACCTAGGGTCTCCAACCACTGGTTCCTCTTGTCCCGTGGACCCCAACCACCTAGTCTGCATCGTCCTACATGGCTTAAACCAACAGTCAGAGACTTCATACATTGGTGCCATGTTTTAGTCTGGCCACCTCGGGCCTTTTTCCAGCCTGAACCCACCTCAGCCAACATTGTGTGACGAGGCAATCGGTGACTAGGCATACGTAGTACGTGTCCCAACCATCTCAGTCGATGAAGGTTCACAACCTCGTCGACTGACTTACCTCTTCTCCCTAAAACTCTACACCTAACTTCTGCATTACTCACATGGTGACACCACGGAATACGTCCTATACTACGAAGGCAACGGTGGTCAAATACCTGTAACCTTCTCATGTCTTCCACTTTCAATGGCCATGTTTCACAGCCATACAGTAGAACAGAGCGGACTGCTGTGCAGTACACGCGACCCTTAATAGACAAACGAATATCACGGCGGCGCCATAGGTGGCGCAAATTGGCAAAAGCCAATCGAGCCTTTTGTATCCGTGCAGAAATCTCATCGGCAACTAACCCACCGGAGTTGATCCTACTTCCCAGGTAAGTGAAGTGGTCAACACACTCAACCACTTCACTCTCTATTGTTAACCGCGGTACCGCTGAAGACCAGTCCTGGAGCAAAAATTTGCATTTGGGTGGTGAAAATCGCATCCCAAACATTCTCAAATTCCCACTCAAAGTGTTCAGAAGACTCTGCATCTTGTCAGCGTCTTCACCTAACAGGACTATGTCATCTGCATATTCTAGATCTAAGGAAAATTCACCTGTGGTCCGGTCAACGTCTTTGTAATTAGGTGACGAGAGGGAAACCTCCATAAGAATATCTATGATAAAATTAAATAAGAATGGGGATAGTGGGCATCCTTGACGGACACCACTTGATGAGTATAGCTCCCTGGACAACTCACCATAGGCTCTAACATGCCCACAAGTGTTCGAGTAGAGAGCTTTCAATAAGGTGATGTACTTACTAGGCACGCCTTTCAGTGACAGACACTGCCATAAGACTTCTCGATCAACGGAGTCAAATGCCGCCTTCAGGTCGAGAAATACAGCTATTGTCGGGCGTCTGTAAGCATGCCTATGTTCCAGGACCTGGCGCAGTGTGAATATTTGGTCGATACATCCACGGCCAGGTCTAAAGCCTGCCTGGTTTTCTCGGGCTTGCTGTTCCCGAGCTCCACTCAGGCGTCGGAGAATTATAGAACTTAGGATCTTAGACACTATGTTTGTCAGGCTGATTCCTCTGTGGTTATCACAAGAGGACTTCTCGCCTTTCTTGAAGACTGGGATGATCAGTGACTTAGACCAGTCGGAGGGGATCGTATTTGATTCCCATATACTGGCTAACACTTCCGTTAGCCTGACTAAGAGAACTCTACCACCATTCTTGTATACCTCAGCAGGTAGTCCGTCTGGTCCTGCTGCCCTTCCCCGTTTCAGGCTACCTACCGCTTTCTCAACTTCTTCTAGTGTTGGGGGACCTGTCTCTATGTCCCATTCAGGGTCCGACTGGATAGCGGGCAGCGCAATGGTGGCTGGAGGCCAGTTAAACTGTTCCTCAAAGTGTTCTGCCCATCGTCCCAGTCGCCTTCCCTGCGAGTGAATCGCCGATCCGTCCTTCTCCGCTATAACCTCACTAACTGTTGTTGACCATTTCCCCCCAGTCTCCTTAATAAGTCTAAATAACTGTCTACTGTTACCGATCGCCGCTGCCTTTTCCATCTCTTTAGCCTTTGCTGCCCACCACTGTTCACGATCGTTGCGCAGACTTTTCGTCAGTTTATTTTTAAGTTGCGCTCGCTCTTCATTGTACTCAGAGCCTGCAGGGATGCATTCACGTGCATCCATTAGTTTGGAAGAAGCTGCTGATATCCACTGGCTCTTTTTAGCCATTATCTTGGAGTCGGCTACAGTCTCCAGTGCTGCTTTTACAGTAGACTGAAGATGGCACCAAGCTTCTTCTGGATGAGTGACAGTCTTTTGTTCCGATAACTGCCTAGCCAACTTCTCACTGAACACGGCTTTGGTGTTTTCGTTGTCCAGCAGAACTCGTAGTGGTTTTGTTGCCAAATTTTTTCTACGTCCATTGAGACGCAGGCATATACGTGCTCGGACCAACGCATGATCGCTGTCCAAACACGTACTCCAGAAGGAGCGGCAGTCTTCCACCGATCCTCTCCAGCGATGACTAATAGCAATGTGGTCTATCTGTGTCCATCGCTGAGTCGAGCTCGGTGGACGCCAGGTCAGACAGTGCCTTTCTTTATGTCTGAAATTTGTGCTGGCTAAAAATAGGCGGTTATCTGAGCATAGTTGTAATAGGCGATCACCGTTATCTGTACGTTCAGCTGGGATTCCGAAAGTGCCACCTAAGTGCCTTTCTGCCTCACTCAGTCTACCCACCTGTGCGTTGAGGTCACCTGCAACAACCACTACGTCCGAACGTTTGGCTTTCGAGAGGAGGTTAGACAGTTTATGGTAGAACTCGTCCTTCACTTCATCCGAACTACAGTCAGTGGGTGCGTAAGCAGAGATTACAAAGAGACAACGGCGAGTCTCACTATTCCTTTTAGTTCTCACTGTGCCGTTCAGCCTCATAGCGCAGAGGCGACTATCAACTGGGATCCAGTCTAGTAGTGAGTTTTCTGCCCTGGTGCTTAATGCTATACCTACACCTGCAAGACCACGAGAGCTAGCTATCGAATCTCCAGAAACTCGAAGGGTGAATTTTGCAGATTCACCAGATTGGTCAGGAGAGGTCAGGTGAATAACCACACTTGGGTCCTGTATGCGTGTCTCACAAACACAGCACACATCCATGCCCGAGTTGCTAGAGTCTTTGCCAACGAAGCCTGTTGGCCAATTTGACGGAGGGTGCGGACATTGAAGGCTCCAATATGTAATTTGGAGCGTGGTTTAAGGAGACCAGGGATGCTGTTCTGTGGACTCAGATCGTTGTCGAAGGCTGCAGAGGTAGGAGAAATTGAAGATGATGCAGCATCATTAATTAAGAGACGTGAAGGAAGATTAGAAGGTAATGATGGAGGAGGAGGATAGCAGTCAGAAGAAACTTGGGTGCTGACAGAGTTGTGAGGGCGGTTGACACTTCCCGGCTGCCCACACCGTGGAAGGCTATTTCTTCTTAAGGTACCTGAAAGAGATTTGTGTGACCGCAGAGCCCATCGGACATCTGCTTGAGGCCTGTCACACCCAGCCTTTTGAGTATGATTATTTTGAATTTTTGTATTTTTGGGGCCGGATGAGCGAAAGGAAACGACAAGTGAACCAACACCGCCGGCCCGGCAGACCGTGGGGCGTGGTGGAGTGTGTTATTTTTGGGGCCGACCTTTTCTAACCCCCCCTTCCACTGAGAAGGCAGCATCATTAATATTTCATATACATGAATAGATGATAAAGTCATTAGTCTTTATGTATAAATAAACACTTGTCAGATGGCATAGAAACCACCTCTGAAAAAGTATAACTACACTACTATATATTTTACCTGATGAAAAAAGATTTCTAAATTGCGAAAATCAGCAATAATACTTCCAAAATGTTCAACTGGATTAAACCATCTTATACGACCTCTATTCCATTTTCCTGGACCAATATACGGATAAGCTTCTTGTGGTATACGTGTAGGTGGCGGCGGCGGAGGTGGTGGCGGCGGTGGTGGTAGTGGTTGCAGAGGTGGAGGTTTCCATTCACGTGAAATACGTTCATGTGCACCAGGATAGCCTGGTCTGAACATTATACCTAAGTTAGATTATAATCAAAATAAGAAAAGCAATAATAATTTGAGAGGAGGGAGAAAGGAGAATATAATTAGGGCAATGTAGTAAATAATAAGTCAGTTATAGTTCTCCTTCATACATTTATCACACATTCAAGCGATCCCCAATAATCCTGATTGGTGTAGATATATCTACTGACATTGGAAAACGTATTCCCCTAAAGACATATGATCTTACTCCCAAAGTATAGTGAAATCAGAACACATCGACACATTTTTGCAACGTATAAATTCAACAGTTAATGCATTCCAATTCATGCCTGAACGAAAAACTGGTGAAGGAAATTGCAAAAATTAAACGTTGGCATGCTTGAGTTTTAGATACCAGTCTCTATAAATACTAAGTGACCTTTAAGTCATCCTAGCAGCAAGTGTAATCACTTATAGGTTTCTTCGTTTCGATTAAAAAGTTAGTTTATTTTCATGAAATACAGAAATCGAAATGGTTACTTCAATAGTTGTTAAGGTGGTCTTTAGAGTCATTCCAAAAATTTGTGACATTTTAATCCATAATAAGACTTTAGATCATTTTATCCAGTTTTGGTTAAGGCATGACTTGATTAAATGTCAAAACAGATAAAAAGGAAGCAAAGACTGATTAGTAAAGCAAAAGAAATGAAGCATTTAAAGGATGCATTATTACTCAACAATTACCACCAGTGAACTAATCCAGCAACATATAAGAAGTAATAAGAAAAATAATACGACTCATCAATTACAGACACAACACATGTGGCAATGAAACCACAAACAAGCATTACAAAACCTTAATAATTCTACTCAATAAACAATAGATATATGAAACCGTACGCAGATTCTTGAGAAGGTGAGGAGTAGAGTGGCATTTAGGCCTAAAAACTCACTTAGAGATTAGTTTTGTCTGCCGAAGAATCCTCTCGAACCTCGAATAAACAAAAACCACTTGGTCTACCGAATTCAGTTTGTCGACTGTGAAGTCAAATACATAGGTAACACTAGCCGACTGAATTAAATTTGGGGTAGAAGATATAGAAGTTTAGCTAAACATAGATAAGAAATCTAGAAAAGACCTCAGCTATAACCAAGTACGCTGTCATATACAAAGATATAATAGGATAGGACAGAGTGAAAATTTTATGTAATAACTTGAGTAAATGGAGACAGAAATTGATAAGTGAGACTTTGTTTATCCAATCGACACAACATATATATGTAATAGAAAGTGACACAACAGCAACTCGAGATATGTGGTAAATTTTATCACCGATCACATTAAAGTATTTCTCACTGTGGTGGACTATATTGAGCAACAAACTGTGAGGAGCGAGATGGAAATACACTGTTTCACAGATGAAAACACCCTAGAAAATTTGCATTTCGCCAACGATGATTTATATCTATTGTCTTATCCTACAAACTCGAAGATAAAATGGCAAAAACTAACAGTTGGTAGAAGACGCAGGGCAGTGAAGATGGGACTTTCTTCAAGTGAACGCAAAGAAGACAGAGGTGACAAAGATACTCAACCAACAACAATAACAACAAGCACCAAACACCATCAACAGGAGAAACCTAAAGGAAATTGTCTCTTTCACTCACCTACCTAACTAGGCAGCATCGTTTTAACTACAGACGGCATAGTCATAGATGAGGATGTCAATACCTGCATTAATCTGAAACCAATGTGGAGATCTACTGCACTGCACTACATTGTACTCAGCATAAAGCATGGACAAGATCCGGGTTTTCAACACCAAAACAGTGAAGTCAGTGCTTCTATATGGTAGTTGGGTGACTTGGAGCGTCACGAAAAGCATTTCCAATAAACTGCAGACATGCATCAGTAGCTGCCGCCTACGCTCACTCGATACTGAAGATCAGATCGGATGTTCAGAAAGAATAAGCAATAAGGAAACCTGGCCTACAGATGAACCAACCAACCAAGAACCCATCGCCCAACAAATATGCAGTAGAACAAAGTGGAGATGGATTGGATTGAGTATACACTGAGAAGACCGATTGGGATATCACGCGTCAGCCAGGCCAGGCAGATTGTCGAGTGGAAACCAAATGGGAAACGACTAGTTGGGCGTCCGAGGAGAAGGTGACATGGAGGAGATGGTGTGAGGAAGAAATGAAATCTAGTTAGCAGACGTGGAGCCAGGTTGAAAATACTGCAGAGAATAGAGTGAAACGGCGATGTGCTACTGAAGCCCTATGTTCCACTAGGAACCCAAGGGACAACTAATAAAAAAATAATCTACCCTTAAGAAGTCAGCATTTGATATCCGACTCCCTATTCCTCATCTAAATAACGCTAAGTAATATCTATTACTGTTGAGTCTATGAGTGACAATTCATGAAACTGAAAATACCCAATTACAAAATCCCTTCGAATTTTTCTCTATCAATGGTGAATTTCAACAGATAACATAAGAAACTAACATATCTGTCATATGCCTGATTTTGACACCTTCAGAGAGATCTTCAGTTAACCTCTGTAGATAAACAAGTAAGCATGCTTCATGGTTCACTTTTCGGACCATTAATTTTTTTCTTACTTTTTCTCTTTTGCTCTATTCAATTTCCCCTTCCATTCCATTTTATACTTTCAGTTTTATACTACTTACTATTATTGAGTAGTATAATTATTTTCATGCAACTTTAGTCACTGTCATAATTGTATTTTGCTCATTATTTTAACATTCTTAGATTGGATATCGGCATCGTTCCACGTTCATAATTGTGTTGGGTTCTCTTCACTCCCCTACCCAATGTTTTATTTTACCTTTAAAATATGTCTGTCTCATCTTGTAAATCCGCATTTTTTCTAAGTTTTCCTCTGGTTTCCTTTACTTGTTGAAGAATCACTCAGTCTTGGTTTCTGTCTTCTTTGAAAGAATTTCACACGAACTGTAGCACTGGATGGCACAGAAGCGAATTTGTGAGAATAAAATGATTCTTTACAGGTAGAAGATGGACTTTGCCGGTAAGTTTCAGCAAGTATGAAACGAAGGTTCTCAACTTCTTCCCAATCAGTCCTAAATGCGTAGCACCTAACTATATTGTGCAACATATAACATTTGAACGAAAACACCTGCATCTAATTCAATAATTCGACTGGAGATAAAAGAAAATAACTAAAATGCCGTTTGAATAATGGTCATTTTCACTCTAACTACCACACAAAGATGCTAACAACCTTGTCAGAAACTCAATGTGATGAATCCAACTTTAAATCTCATTTGTAGCTTGAAACTAGACTGAGAAAACGGTGACAAGTGACCATCTGAAGAACCATCAACGTCCAAGTAGTGATAGGCTGGTGTTTCATCACATCTGTGGATATTTTCATCAGTTTTACTCTTACAGATCTATCCAACCATTGCTTCAAAATCATATGGTCAACCATACTGCCACTTCAACGCAAAAGATATCTAGCATTGTTAAGCATTCGTAAAGTACGATAATTTACTACCAAAGGCTTTGATCAAACCTAGTAGTAATTCCTGTAAGAGGAAGTAAGACAATTTCAATAAGGCATTAGTTATCCGGTTAACCCTTTGCTACATAACCGGTTTCATCCAGCTAATCAACTGACTGAAGTTACAACTGTTGACAAAATTGAACTGGGAATATGGAGTGACTCTTGGGGCCACTATAGCAATGGCTCGAATAACCAATTAAGTTTCTTCATCTCGGCTAGAAAGATAGACTTCCATAAAATAAAGAAACCTAATTGATTATTTCAGTTTTTACCAAGGTGGTCTTCATAGACACTCTGACTTTGAAGGTTACCAAACCAACTCCTGCGATAACTAGCTGTGGTTCTTTATTTTATGGAAAACTAACTTCTCGACGAAATACCGAAATCTGACTGATGATTTCAGCAATTGCCAAGGCGTCCTTTAAAGTAACTCATGACTATAAAGGTCATTGTAGCGATAACTGGAATAATGAGATAGCCCTGTTTATTTCTTTTGAAAAGGTAAACTTCCATAAAATACAGAAATTTAATTGACTGTGAGTGACTCAAATGGCCACTCTAGTGACTGCTAAAAAAATCAATCAGATTTCTGAATTTCGACTGCAAAGCAGGTAAAAGAATTTTCTTGGTTCATTTGTAGTCATTCAGTCAAATCTATACTTTACTGAACATAGACCCTTTTTTAGTTGTTTTAAATCTCTTTGATTTAGAAGTACTAATAGAGGCCAAACTTTCTGCTACGAACCCCTCAGATTTGTGAATCCAACTAGGGTAATCAGAAGACAAAGAGAAGAATCTTCTGAACACTATAAGAAAAAATGTGAGGACATATATTGATTGGTCACTGGAGGGCAACGAACTTTAAGTTGTCTAGTCAAATGTGCTGATCGATTTCGATCGTCCAATTTACAATGTGGTCACCAGGTTAGGCGGCTCAGCATGGCATTTCACCTTGATAGATGTTATTTGGATGGAGGCGATCGGCAGGGACCTTGCTCAAACTACATTCTGTGCTTTTTAACACTCGTCATCAAGGCGTATCTGCAACCTCTACGAAACTGACTTTCTGATTGAGATTCGAACCCGTGTCGCCCAGTACTGCAGTTAAAGACGTTACCAGTGAGCTATTCGGGCCATCACTGACCTCCTATAGGACTGGATTCGTGCAATGACTGGCTACTCGTGTGTAGCCAACCTCATGTTGTCTGGTCCCAAGTAATTATAGACGGAATAAGTTACCCTTGACGATGTGAATACACCTTGCTGATGAGTACCAAAAAGCACGAAAGTTGGTCTGGAGCTTTCTCCTGATTACCTTCATCCAACTAACATCCATTAACGTAATGTTGTTTAAGATGCTATTTGAAACTTACAAAGGGAGACTTTCCCTTCAAGATTGTTTTGCATCGATGTACCATATAGTAGGTGAGACACAAATTGGTTGAACAAGTTAACTTCCCTGCTTGTCTTTTAACGCATATATCAACACAATAATGA